TTTTTTTTAAATTATTTATTCTTTTTATGTGTGTACCGTCAAATTGGATCTGACTGGTACAGGAGGCGATTGTTCCTCCTTCTTCAGCAGAGCATCTGGTGGATTTGAACCACACACCTCTGGAATTGCAGTGCCGTTTCCTGCCACTAGGCCACCAGAGCTCGCCCCATTGCTAGTGTTTTGACCTTTCTTTCAGGTAACTTATTAGAGAAAGTACGAAAGGTGAAAGTTTGATTTGACAAATGACAGCTATATACTTGTTGAATGGAATATTTTAATCTCTTGGTTCAAAATTTGGAAATAAAATTATGTCATTTCTGAAATATATAGAAGAACCAATTTTACTTTGAGTAGCATTTTGGTGTTAAATAATGTTGTCTGTTTCTTTTGCTAGGTTGATGGGAATATGAGCAAAATTTATTGCCAAAACCTTTGCTTGTTAGCCAAGCTCTTCCTGGACCACAAAACGTTGTATTATGATGTTGAACCATTCCTTTTTTATGTCCTTACAAAAAATGATGAAAAGGGCTGTCATCTGGTTGGCTACTTTTCGAAGGTAAGACACGTGCCAGCATGACCTGACTTTTCCTTTTCCAAATGTTTTTGGGAGAGCCCAGTTCCTTGGACAGGGCTTTTCTTCTGACTATAATTTGAATAAATGACACATGTTTTTGCAAAGCTCTCAGGTTCTTGTCAAAGCGTGTTATAAAAGACAGAACCACTGTGCCTAGGAAGCACTCAGAGGGCCTCACACCGTTTGTTGCCTTAATGGTCAGCATGCACTTGAAGCTCTGTCGGCTGCTGGGAGGACACTGAGCCTTTGAGATTTTCTCTATTGGTTGTTTCCTCTTCCCCTAAGTAGAGCCTATGCAAGTTACAGTGTAATGTTTCATTGAAGAGAATTCTTATTTTTGTTTGTTGCATGCTCCTCTAGTCTCAGTGTCTCGGTGAGCTAGAATGTTGGCATTTGGACAGTCAAGCTTATAAAATGATGGCTTTATATGTTTTGCCTTTTATTGTCTGTGCTATTATGTAAAATTCTGAAGCAATCTCACCCTTAGAAAGCCTAAATTTCTCTGGAATTTAGCATAGGGAAAACTTTGACATACTGAGTATCTTGTCTTTTTCAGTGATTCAGAATGACTGCTTACATTCTTCTCATAGACTTCTGAGAAACAATAACTCTTATTGAGTCAAGTAAAACTGGAATTGGAGACCATTCCTAGGTTATAAGTTTAACCTTTTAGGCATCCAGAGAATTGTTTCATATACTGCAATGGCATATAAGGAGAGAAGGTAATCTGGTCTTCTAGGCAGAAGCAACTAAATTATATGAACCTGGGTTTTTAGAAACAAGACTGAAATATCAAGGATTTTATTTTACTTGAATTTATAATCAGTGTCCATAGGAGCAGCAGTCAAGAAATGAAACATTTTGCATGGGGCCAATCTGCTTGTAGAGGAGCTCTTTAAAATGCTGGTGAGCAAAGATGCCTCTTTGAGGACTAAGGTGCACCCTACCTCAAGCTATAGTATTTTCAGTTGCCTTATAGGCAAGTGAAAATTAGACTAAAGAACAGATGCTTTTAAATTGTGATGTTGACGAAGAATATTGAATATAGTATGGGCTATGAAAAGAACAAATCAGTCTTGGAATAAGCATAGACAGAATTTTATTTAGAAGCAAAGATGGTGAGACTTTGCCTTATTCTTTGGGCACGCTCTAAGGAGGGCGTCATGCTTGGTAAAGAAGAGGGTCAATATAAAGGAGGCACACTCAACAAAATGCATTGGTCCAGTGGCCACAACAGTGCACTGAAGCACAGCAGAGACTGTTGGATTTTGCAGGATTGGGTTATGTTTCATTCTGTTATGTGGGATATTACTGTGTAAGCGTGGGAGCTATCTCAGCTGCACCTAGCATCAGCATATTTTTTCATATTAGATAATGTTAGTGAGTTTTAATATTTCTCTTCCATAATATAAAATACTTTAGATGTGTTCTTTTCCTGTTGTTGTTGTATACCATCGAGTCAGCACCAACCCATAGCTGACCCTCCGGCAGGTTTTCAGAGGCATTGCCCATTCCTCTCCCGTGGAACAGCTGGTGGACTCAAACCACCCGCTTTCAGGATTACAGCGCAACTTCTTGCCACTAGGCCACCAGAGCTCCCTAGAAGGAGCTAATTCTTTTCCTAGAGGGTCAGGTATAGAATATATATGATGGTATGTTGCAAAATGTTGGTATTATTAGTTGCTGTCTAGTCACCCCTACGTCATGGCCATCCTGGGCATAATGGGATGAAACACTGCCTGGTTACGCAGGCCATGTGGTTAGTGAGACTTTCACTGATTTTTGGAAGTAGATCACCAGGCTTTCCTTTGTAGTCCGTCAGAGTCTTGAAGCTCCACTGCTGCCTAGTCAGTGCAGTGACCAGCCTGTCATAGCAACACACAGCGTCCACTGACAACTGTGCATGAGGTGCCCTGGCCCACAGGTGAATCCAGATCTGCAGGGGAGGCACGAAGTAAGAACTGTAACATTATTCTGTTTTTTATGAATAATCTAAATTAAAAGCTAAACCCAGTGTTCTTGTTGATATTGACTCCTAGGAACCCCATAGGTCAGAATAGGACTGCCTCATGGGTTTCTGAGGCATAATCTTTATAGAAGTAATCTACCATACCTATCTTCTGCACAGTGGCTTTTGAGTTTGAACCACTTAACGTTGGGTTAATAGCCAGGTACTTAACCACTGCACCATCAGGGTTCCCATTAATTAACTCGCAAGCTCAAAAATATCAATAATTGAGAATACATTTAGAAAACTGCCCCTATATAAAATGACAAAGACAAATGTCACTTTGTACCTTATGGATTAAAAATTTGACATAATTAAGATGGAGTAAAACAATGAATAGGAAATTCATGTATGAAGCATCTTTTATGTTGTTATGATGATGTGCTGGTGAGTCAGGACGGACCCATAACTGACCCTCCAGTGGGTTTTCCGAGGCACTTAATCACACGGGAGATTGCCACTCCTTCTTCCAGGGAAAGGCTGGTGCCTTTTGATATTGCTTTTCCTGTTAGAAAATGATACTTGGTAGATGCCTGTGAGTTTGTGTGTAGAACTTAGTGCTTGCCACCCTCTTCCTGCTGAGTTGATGATGCATGTGCTTAACCGGCTCATCTGTAGCTGATGGTGATTCTGACCGATTGTTCTGGAGTCTCTCCTCCCCAGGGTGCCCAACATTTGTGCCCACAACAAGCTAAACTATCTCATTTTGTCAGACTTTCTTGTACAGTATAGCAATGGCTACTAGAATTTCTTATTAGGCCTGGGAAAATAAGATTATTTGGCATTGTAATAAAACAGAAAGTATCCTAAATAAAAATCCTGTTAAAACTAGATACAAATTAAATTAATTCTAAAATGTAAATTGGAATATGGATGAATTATTATTTGAGTTTACACAAAAACCAAATTCTTGAGGTTATTAGAAAATCAATTCAAATCTAGCCAGAGAAGAGCCAGGATGACCAAGAAGAGATCAAAACAGATCATTGTGCATGCAACTTTACCTGTCTTATAATAGAAAACTCTAAACAAAATCGAGGCGCTCTGGTGTCCTAGTTATAAGAAAATATGCTGCAATCCCAAAGACACGTGGTTTGAATCCATCAGCTGCTCTGCATATGGATGGGCAGTTTACTGCCTCTGAAAACCCAATGGAAGGTCAGCTATGAGTCAGTTTTAACTTTACAGCACACATCAACAAACAGAAGAAAAAGGAACAGTTGTATTATCTATAGATTAAGACCTGCCTATTGTAATATAGGCAAGGATGATGAATAATGAAGCTTCATCTTTCATAATTTGGAAATGTTAGGAGAGGCTATTCTTTGGAAAGGGACATAATACTTGGAAATATGGAGGGTCAGAGAAGAAGACCCGCAAAGAGGTGGGTTGACACTGTGACTTCAGCAGTGGACTCCAATGTATCAGAGGATGATGAGGATGGCAGAGGATATAGGGTTAGCATTAGATTTCAGGTTTCATAGGGTCGCTATGAGTCGCCTCGACTCAAAGGCACCTAACTACAATTGTAATATATTAAAGGGGAAAAAGATTACTGCAAGATTAGATTTTTAAAGATGAGAGTAGTTCTAGCCAAAGAAAGGAATGGTTTCAAGGATGAAGGCATGGGACCTCTCCAAAGTACTGAAGAGCAATGGTGTCTCTCTGGAGACTAAGGTGCGTCTGATACAGGCTTTGGTCTTCCCAATCACTTGTTATGCATCAGAGAGTTGGACAATGACCAAGGATGATAGAAGGAGAATTGATGCCTTTGAGCTGTGGTGCTGGAGAAGAGTATTGAGAATACCATGGACTGCTAGGAAAACAAACAGATTTGTCCTGGAAAGGGTTAAACCGGGTGGCTCCTTGGAGGCAAGGATTCTGAGGCTCCGTCTAACATACTTTGGACATGTTGTGAGGAGAGATCGGTCCTTGGAGAGGGACATCATGCTTGGGAGGGTGGGGGGACGGCGCAGGAGGGGAAGGCCCTCTATGAGGTGGATTGATTCAGTGACTGGGATAATCGGGATGGGAGTGTCAGAGACAGTGCGACTGGCACAGGACAGAGCGGAGTTTAGGGCTGTTGTACATAGGGTTGCTATGAGTCGTAGGCGACTCGACGGCACATAACAACAACAATCTATTTGTCTGACTTTGCTAAAGTTGGCAGTTATTTGACCCTTTAACATTGAAGTACATATCCAGTGATGGACAGTCCTTTGACTTAGGCAAACTGACAAGGTTATTTCTTCCCTCTCATTTTTCTCAGACTCCAAAAGAGCCACGGATGTGTGAAAGTTGGGAGCACTTTTTCTTTCCTTTTCCTCACAAAGAGATCTTTAATTCTTCCCCGTAGGGTTTTTTCCACAACTGTTTCCTGTGATCTTTCAAATAGGTTCATTAAAGATCTGGGTGTTCCGAAATAATTCTTTGATGTGTTTGCTACCATTTGTGGTCTGACTTATTTGTGGTTTATATTTGGCCAGAGAATTCACAACCTCAGAAGCCCTTTTCTGATCTTGTCTGTAGGTTTTGGCAGTTTCTGTGTACTCTGAACAAAATGCTGCCACTCTGATGCCACATCCCAAGAAAACTGGACATATTTCCTTAGCCACCGAGAGCACCGTGGGCCACCACACTCTTTCCAGTCTTCCTGCTGGATTAGACTCTTGTTGTTGATATTTTAGCCTCACCTTTGTTCAGAGGCTTTCGAATTTATTGCTATCTTTTTTTTCTTTTCTTCCTGGTTTCATAAATGAATCCTTTTTTCTAGATTTCTTTTAATTTAATTTTTTATTCATAGGAGAAATGTATTTGGGCAAAAGCTACCCCCATATACACTATTTGTGTTTCACTGGGGCATTTGCTCAGAGGCAGAAGACAGATTGCAGTTGTAGAGTTGTAGTTTACTTAGTGCAGTAGCTGGCTGAGTCTTAACTTACCCTCACTCTCTAGGTCTTATTTTCTCCATGTCCCAGGTTGTTTGAGCAAGGAAAGCTTTTCTGCCATACTGTCTGTATTTTTTTTAATGTATATTTTTTTGTCTTCTGCTATTTGTATTTTATGATACTGACTTTCAAGAACAAAGATATAATTGAGAGGCATGCTTGGATTGATGGTTTGTTGTTAGTTGGAGGTTTGATTGATTAACACAGTAGGATTATTTGGTTTGATCCTAACCTAACACATTGGCTCGCCTTAGTGGAATATTTTACAAGGACAGTGGCAGGTACAGGGAATTGCCCACTTCAGCAGAGCTCTGACATACTTGATCTGTTTCTCCTTCCCTCAGGAAAAGCTTTGCCAGCAGAAGTATAATGTCTCCTGCATAATGATCATGCCTCAGCACCAAAGGCAAGGATTCGGACGGTTTCTCATTGATTTCAGTAAGTGAAGCGCTTTATTTACTTTCCCGATCCAGGGAGCTGATGGCTGTTACAGGAAACAGAAACACATAAAACTTTATTTAACCAACCTTGTTGTTTTTATCAATAGATAATGGGTTTTCTGTTTATATTTACATAGGTTAGAAAACTTCCTCAAATGACAAATTTATTGTTGCTCAGTTATTGGACCCTAGGAAATTGAGACTGGTTCAGCAGCGTCACCAGCTTACAGAGCCTTTACACTGAATGAACCAGCTGAATTACATTCCATTTGGTGGTGGTCATGCTCATTAGCCCCAAAAGAGGCAATTATTTGCAATTAAAGCTAAAGGAAGTATTATTTAAAAGGATTTTCAGCTTTCTGAAATTATACCTGTGATCTTGTGCTGTACAGAGCAGTAAAGAGAGATTTTCATCAAAAGAAATGAGTCTTTAGGTAGTCTGTCCTCCGAGACTCGCCAGTAGAAATAACTCTATCTTATTTTGTGTTGGGTTTCTTTTTGTAGAACAAAAACTATTACAATATTTATATCTAGAGGTTTCCCAGAAAACATTTCTTTTATATACACTGGCATCTTTGGAGATTCCTCAATTAAAATCAGAATAAGATGTAAAAATATACACAGTACAATGTAAAGGAAAATATTTTTACCTCCGTGTTTATATTATATTGAATATGTAAAATATAATATGAATTTGGGGAATTGATTGAAAATAACATGAAAGCTCCCTGTCCCATGATAATAGTCAACTTAATGGCAATGAGAAAAACCTTATAAAAATCTGCCACTAGAAACTGTTCTAATTGATTATCAAATTACAGTTTGATTTTAAATTTTAAAAAGGAAATTGCATAATGTTTGTAAAACGCATAAATGGGAAAACTACAGTGTAAATGTGCTCAAGGAAAACCATGGAGAAATAAATGTTGAGTCTACAGCTGTATTAGTAGACATTGAATTGAACAAAGCCTGAGTAGAAAATAACTTTAGAGCAATTTTGGGTTGATTCATAATTGGTGTTAAAGGATATAACATTACTGTTATTTAATATTTTTTTTATTCTTCTATCGCATTTCTAGTTCTTAATTCCTCATTCTTTTCTGTGCTTTGCTGGATTAGTTATCTGGGAAACTTGTCATCCCTGTGGACCTGTCTAACCACGAGCTATTTCTTTTTTTTTTTTTTATTAAATTTTATTAATTTT